AAATATTTATTTTTTTCCGAAAGTCATACAAATATCGAAATTTCGTTCCAAACTTACATCAATCCAATGTTCGCCCGGAAATACTGCAATCAATTCTGTGTTCTCGTCCAGCGTGCGGAAATACTCCTCATCGTCGATTTCCGTGCCATCGGAGTCCAAGTGTATGGTTGGCGGCTGATCGCCAACATGATCGAATTTCTCAGCTACCTTCGTGCGCAATTCATCGAGTGTGCCAGCCACGACGGCTTTTTTGATATTGCGCGTCACATCCTTGATCTGCAAGACAGTATAAGAGTTAAATTGATAGCATTTAGAAATTTTTGAGACTTTAGGAAAAATTTATACAAATAAAGATAAATATTTTCACTAAAAAAATCTGTATCTAAATATTTTTGCATAGACAAAACCTAACAATAACTTTGTGCCATTCGAAAACCACTTCACTTGTATGCTCAGTGCCACACTCAACGGGTTTTTGCGCTCATTTTTTGTACTGCTTCCGCTTTCAACTAATCTCCGTCACACTTGCGACTTTGCCAAGGAAGCAAATTCAAATTGAATCAGTAACTAGAGCATGCATTTCTTTTGTTTGATTTACTGAGCTCTCTAAGAAAACGCGCAGCTGTTAGCAAAGTGCTTAATAGTATTAGGCGGCATAAAAGTGGGCCTGAGGCAGAAGAAAATGTCGTTAAAATTGGAGAGATTTCAGAAAGCTTTAATCCACACGCTTGTTATAAAAGCTTTTTTTTTTAAATTTACTGCAGAAACGACTTCTAAAAATAAATAAATCCTTTTCTTTTTTATACCGACTGTGTAGGTCCTGCTCGAATTAAACATTTCTTCTCAGAGGTTTTTACGACCCATATAGCTTTTAAAATGTTCACATTCCATAGTGATAAAGTGAAAGGTTTCAGCGACATATTGAGACTAAAAACAGAAATAGAAACCCGAATTCAACATTCGAACTATAACTGCAACTGAATTTCAAGTTGACGGGATCTTCAAAAAGACAGACTTGGCGCTGAAAAAGGTAGATTTGAGCCTCAATACGATAACTCTCAAAAAGACGACCAAAACATTTATCGATGCTTTTGAGAAACTTAAGCATAAAATGGAGATTATACTGAAAATCGATCAGTTGAAAAGAGCGCCACCTATCGGTGCAGCTGTGGAGCTTTTAAGTACGTCCTCAAATCATACTATTACGGAATCAGCTACGCTTTTTGTGAGTGAGGTCAACTATAACTGGATCTGCATTTCAAACTGACGGCATCCACAGAAAGACAGATTTCAGAAAAAAAAAATATTTCACTCCCTAAAAGATAGATTAGAGCCTCAAAAAGAGGAAAGAACCATTTAACGGTGTTTTTTGAATACTTAAGCTTCTGCGGAGCTTTTGCTTGCTCAAACCGAACTATTAGGCAACACATATCGCGTTAGGCAATTTTGCTTGAGTTTCTGTTTCTCAGCCGCAGAGCTTTTATGCCTAACCAAACATTATTTTACAAGGCAATGCAACTTCGGAAGCGTTATTAATCTCACTCAAATTTAATGTACTCTTTACATCCTCAAAAGTACTCATTGAAGCCAGTGCCATCTATTGCTGCTTTCTGGTTATATTAAAGCTTTTGCGTGTTCAGATCATGCTTTCACTGCACAGAATCGCTTTAGGTAAATATTCTTGATTTTCTAACCAACAAACTGCCTCTACCTAACCAAATATTACATTATAAAAGAAGTGAATTTGCTAAAATGCAAAGAATTTTACCTAAATCTAATGTACTTCTTCAGATACTAAACGATAGCTCATTCAGTCCAACAAAAAATCACAGCAACGGCAGATAAATTTGCTGACGTTAATGAGCCACACAAATAACCTACATGTACACAACACGCCCTTTAAAATGCATTGCGCCTAAAAGTATGCAACGTAATTTAAGTTATGCCATTTATTGAACTGCCGCTTTGCCACCTCGTCGGCGCGAAATGCTTGCGACATAACAATTAATCAAACTGCCAATAAGAGGCATTCGCTGTAGCGGTAGCGATGAGAAATTTATAGCTTGAAGTTGGATCAAAAGGGCCTACTTACATAAAGACATAAATTCACAAATATGTATGTAGCATTGGCATGAGCAAATAATGTGTGCAATGCATAAATACGGCGTGTAAGCGCCCAAAAGTATGCAGCAGCACAAGTAAATAAAGCGCGATTTATACGGAAATGAAAAACGGAAATGCGAAACGAAATTTAAGATAAAGCAGAGCCGGAAATCAGACACTAATTGCAACATGGTAAGTGAATGGCTATTAAAAGGGAAGGCGAGCGAGAATTTAAAGGGAAATTACGGTAAGACAAAAGGGTATAGAGAAATCTGCTTCGTACAAAGTTAAGTAATTAAAAATCGAGGAAGTCAAATTAAACGCAGCTTTTAGGTATATTTTTGTATCCTTAACTGGTTATATGTAGAGTTCTAAAAAGTTTGTAGCAACCAGCCGAAAATGTGCGAGAACCTATAACTTGACGAGCTGAGCTTCAGTGCATGGGATATCGATCTGAAATTTTGCAAACGTTCTACTTTTCCTATGTAGCTACACATTTGACGAAATCGAAGATATCGGACCATTATAGCCTGTAGCTGTCATACAAACTGAATAATCGGAATCAAGTGCTTGTATGAAAACTTTTTCATTTGAGGAGATATCTTCATCAAAATCAGCAAGAGCTATTGCACTAAGCAACAATATAATCTGCCAGAAAATTGTTCAGATCGGATTACTATAGCATATAGCTGCCATACAAACTGATCGATTTTACTCAAGTTCGTATACTGAAAACTTGATTTTTTAACGGAATGTCTTCATGAAAATTGGCACAGATTATAGCCGAAAAGAACCCTATACTCTCCGCAGAAATTATTCAGATCAGATTACTATGTCATGTGGCTGTCATACAAACTGACCGATCAAAACCAATGTCTTATATGAAAACCTTTTTTATTTGACGAGATAACTACACGAAATTAGGCACACATTATACCCGACAGCAACCTTATAATCCTCGCACAAAATTATTCAGATCGAATACATATTGCATATAGCTGTCATACTAACTGCTCGCTCAAAATCAAGGTATTGTATGGAAAACTTTTCTATTTGACTAGATATCTCCACGAAATTTGGCACAAGTTATTTTAAAAGATAACGGTATAATCTCCGAGCAAATTGTTGAGATCGGATTACTATAGCATATCGTTACCGTACAAACTGATTGAACAAAATCCAACGTTCGTATAGAAACTAAAGAATATTATAGCTTCAGTGCAAAGAAAGTTGACATTTTTTTACTGTATACATTACCACAATTACTAATTTCAGCATTCATTTCCCGGCACTATTTTCTTTTCACGTCACAAAACTTTAATTTGCTTCAAAAAAAATTCCGTCCTCCTTTTAAATTAACTCAACCTAAACACGACTGCTTGCTGCTTACGTATGTGCATTTAAATAGTCTCATTGCCACTCACTGTAAGCCAATAGAATTACAAACTAACCACACGACCTACACATGTTGCACGCAAGAGACCGCGTGGCACCAACGGAAGCAATATCCCTACCGATGACGCGGTGGACTCACGCTAAAGCAATTTCGACGCAAGGAAAAAAAAAACAGCGTCACAACAAACAAACAAAGAGAAACAAAAGAAAACAACACACACAAATACACACACACACCGAAAATCATCAACGAAAAATTCATAATTACTTTAACAGTTACCACTCCTGCCACAAATGTCAATGGTGCGTCGCTTATGGCAACACTCTACAAGGCTGTACAACAAACAAAACAATCGCTGTTTCTAATTCGTATGTATGGCATATTCGCTCGCTTTCGGCTACCACAAGCGGCAATACAATGCCAATATTAGTTGACTGTAATTACATTTCGCTTCTGTCTGTGTTCTTCGCAAACAAGGCTTACAAGGTCGAACAGAGATAACAAAGTCCATTAGGGCACATAATAACAATTTATTACGCACTCAATATTACACAGACGAGTTGACGTACGAAGCGTAAGCGGCTGTTGTGGTAATCATACGTAGACTTGTCATTGGATTTGTAATGGTAAAAATGACAAAAATTGGCCTGTGCATATGACATTGGAATCCCTTATTTTATTTCAGTATTTCAGTTCACAATGAATTGTGAATCAGTGAATAACTGACTTAAGTAATCATTAACGAGTAATCACATAGTAATCTCTTTGTAATGAACGAAAATACAAAAGTCAGCGGATTAGATTAAACCTAACCTGGTTTATAAAAGTTTTTTGAGTTAGAGTAATCATTACCAATTTCTAATTACAAATTACAAATTATAAATTAGAAATTACGAATTGCAGATTACAAATTAGAAATTACTAATTACAAATTACAAATTATAAATTACAAATTACAAATTACAAATTACAAATTACTAATTATAAATTACAAATTACATATTACAAATTACACAAATTACAAATCACAAATTACAAATTACAAATAACAAATTACAAATAACAAATAACAAATTAAAAATTACAAATTACAAATTACTAATTACAAATTACAGATTACAAATTAGAAATTACTAATTACAAATTACAAATTATAAATTACAAATTACAAATTACAAATAACAAATTACTAGTTATAAATTACAAATTACAAATTACAAATTACAAATTACTAGTTATAAATTACAAATTACAAATTACAAATTACAAATTACAAATTACAAATAACAAAAAACAAATTACAAATTACAAATTACAAATTACAAATTACAAATTACAAATCACAGATTACAAATTACAAATTACTAATTACAAGTTACAAATTATAAATTACAAATTACAAATTACAAAATTACTAATTACAAATTATAAACTACAGATTACAAATTACAAAATTACTAATTACAGATTACAAATTACAAATAACAAATTACTAGTTACAAATTACATATTACAAATTACAAATTACAAATTACAAATTACAAATTACAAAATTACTAATTACAAATTATAAACTACAGATTACAAATTACAAATTACTAATTACAAATTACAAATTACAAATAACAAATTACAAATTACAAATTACTAATTACAAATTAGAAATTACTAATTACAAATTACAAATTATAAATTACAAATTACAAATAACAAATTACTAGCTACAAATTACATATTACAAATTACAAATTACAAATTGCAAATAAAAAATAATTTT